GAACTTCGAACTTGAAGCACAGTATCTTTACACGCCCTGGGAGCAGTAATGGATTTAGGTATTATTTTTATAACGGTGTCGCTCAATGCAAGGCCAATTATTTTTGGCCACTTCTAGGCATAGAGCTAGAGGTAGGTTTGGTTTATGGTTGTGACGCGCCCTCATTGTATTAACCGTTGCCTAATTATAATGTCTGCACAGTAGGTCTGGCGTTGACGCTTGGGATTGTTTTTGTTGAAATATATAAAACTTCACGGAGGATTGTCACCTATGGCTTCTTGTTTAATTTTCTGTTTTCTTTTTTTTTTTAATTTTTCTTCTTTTTTTTCTTTTTTTTATTTCTTTTTTTTTAATTTTCTTAATTTTCTTTTTTAATTTTTATTTCTCTTTTTAATTTGTTTTTTGCGGTGCACTTGGCGGGGTTTGCACATAGCGAGTTCGATCCCCGGAGAGGAGCTTTTTTTAATTTTCTTTTTAACTGTCGCTGTTTTGCTTTTAACACTCAAAAACTAATTGTTCATGTCCCGACGTATGAGTTTTTTAAATTTTCTTTTTAACATCTGCTGTTTTGATTTTTTTATCAGATGTGTTTTCTTCTTAAGTGGTCTCGTACCAATTTCATCAACTTGGGTAATATCATTTCAACAACTTCTACCTCAATAACGGCAGTAAAACCTTCGACAGCCGAAATATCAGATTTTTTTAAAAGCACTTGTTTTTCTTCAGAAGTTTTTTTTCTTCAGAAGTTTTTTTTCTTCAGAAGTTTTTTTCTTCAGGATCCAGACTTTGACCAGACTAGACAATGTACCATACCAATTAATTATTATGTTGAAATGGATTTTGTTGTGCATATACTCATTAAACCCCTATATTTGTACTTAATTGGGCTTGAATTTCTATCTCTTAAGTTAGTCAGATTTTCAACTCAAGTTGCAGGACAAGGCTACAAAGTGCATTTCAGAAGGGTAAAATGCAATAGCTTCTCCTACGGATTTTGTATTTCCCAACAAGTACAGTATATTTATATTCCTAATGAAAAGTAACAAAGATTTACCCATACACTAGTATTGAAATAAAGAGCACATTTTATCTTAAACATATTGTTTTTTCATTTCACAACTCACAAAAACACCACTGTAAACTATAAGTTTACTGAATATTACTACAAAAAGATATATGTCACAGCTGTAATGTTCAAATTCCACATACACAGAACATCTGCAACATCACACAACAATCTCCCTTCCGGTCCCCTGTTAAAACATCTCTACGCTCTATTTTCTTATCCATTTTACATCTCACAACACATCATTTATAGATCACATCCCATTATAACCGCCAGTAAATAATCCTTTTTACAGAGGCGAAAATGGCAGCTTTTTTCAGAAAGCACTTGTTTAATTCCGTCTCATTAAACCACTATAGAAAAGCGCCCTTAGCGAGACGCCAATAATTCAAACCAGTTAAAGTCACATAAATCAGCTGTCAGACAAAAAAGACGCACGTGCAGCTCGCACCTGGCAACATTGAAGAAGACGGGGTCACAGGTTTAACCTTTCTAGGTTAACCTCTGCGTCAACGTAGATGAATACACCTAAAACAATACATTTGTGGTGATTCGCAGTAAGCTCCGTGCACTGAAATTTTCACAGAGCTACTCAGTTTACAGAGCCTTATAGTGTGTAATGAAGTGTAACTAGGAATGGGTTTAACCGTTTGTAAAACACCTCTTATGTGTTTCTAGGTCAGATCTAAATTTTAAAAGATAAACCAAAGGAGAGATATAAACATTACAGACAGCTGAACCTTACGGAGGCAGAGGAAAACACAACTAAAAACAAAAGATCTAAGAACATAAATTGTCACGGCCACTAATAGTGGTGCCAAAGAAGTTTTGAAAAGTCGGCGCTTTACCTCGTTATATAGACAATTCAAACCAAAGTTGGGCCTTTAATGGTAAGTCAAAGTGCACAGCTCTACACATTAAAAATAACTCTCAAAGTGTTTTATTCACAGCTGACGTTTCGGTGACCGTCTATCACCTTCCTCAGGGTGATTCTGACTGGTTTACATTAGACTGCAGCACAAGTGACGCTGCTATAGATGCATTCCAAAAATACAGTGTTTACATATCTACACATACGTTCGCATACACATGGGACGTACATAGTTCGGATAAACACATTATTGTGGTCAATTGTTGGTTGTTAAAGCAGTTACGGAGAACATATTCGACAATGCGTATGTGTACATATGTAAATAGTGTGCGTTTGGGAATTCATCTATAGCAGCGTCACCTGTGCTGCAGTATAATATGAACCAGTCAGAATTGCCCTGAGAAAGGTGACAGACGGTCACCGAAACTACTTCGGCTATGAATAAAAGTTGTTTTTTAAAAAAAGAGTCTCTTTACTTAGTAACTTACCAAGCTGATAAAACTATTCACGGAGCAAACACAACGGAAAAAATTAAATGTATATCTAGTTTGTCTTATATAGAAGATATTTCCTTATTATCAAGTCATACTTACCTGTAAAATGCTAATAACAACCTGAGTTACCAAGAAACAAAATTAAACGAACAGGTTTTATATTTCCTGTAATTCTTCATATAGATAATTGTTTTCAAATTTCTGTTTGATAACAAGTCAAACCAAAATATAAAAATAGCATCCCGATTGTTTTATACAAGCAACAGTTAAAACATGTTGTAATTTAACCTCAGCAATGTAAACCTTAAGAAACGCTTTACGATTCTCCTTTAGTCTGAAACCAACTCTATATGAGACAGCAATTCTTTGATATCATCAGTGTATAGTAAACCTCAACACCTGTACTTTTTTTGTCAACAATACGCTCACAGGCATTACGCTAAATACAAATGTGTCAGCTGTGCAGAACGAAACAAAGAAACTATACATAGAATAAGAAACAAACAAATACACTTAACTACAAGTGTATATAAATGTTTTTGAAACTTTGGTTAAAAAATCATCACTATATAAAAAATACAGAAATTCAATTAAGACATCAGTTGCACAAGTAAGCATTATAAACATAAGTGCCGTTCATTTCACCATATATAATTAACGTTTGGGATATCAAACTTTCCTGTATAACGTCAGGCTCTCCTAACATTACACAGTAATATCAATTTAAAAATGGTAAATGATGGTCATCACAAATTTTCCCGTTCTTAAATGAACCTCATTTCTTTATACCATTTAAACAGGCTTGTGACAAAAAAAAACTGAATTTTTCTTTGAGGTAGCAGTATGTCAATTTATAGTTTATGAAACAGGACGTTTTGGTACCAAAATATGTAGGTTTCTTTTTGTGCACCGTTAGAGCCTTGATGTGCGCATACATCTTGTTTGTCACGACTTCCAATTATGTTGTTGTTATGCTGTTGCTGATATAAATAACGCGACGAATAAGAAATAAACGATTTAACATAAAAACATCACCTAATGCATATCAGCTCATGGCAGCCACCGTGCGTATATACCTCAACCGACCTAAAACGGTCTTAACCGACCGCTTCCTGGTCTGACATGGAGTGCAAATAGTTTACTAACGCTCTGGATACATTGTATATGCGATTATGAATATTTGCAAATTTTATCTACTTAACATGAGTACTTGATGGGGAAACCAAAATTTGATTTTTCCCACTTTACTGTAACCTATTATCAATATACTTGGTTGACACAAAAAAGTACAGTGACTTCTGTAAGGTCTATAAATACACAATACAAGCAGACGCGTGGGAACAAAAAAAATCTACGTACAAGACTATAGATGAATCAACTTACACTATTTGTGCCAAGGTCTAAACAGTATTTGATATGTTTACCTATTTGTACACAGTAATGGTTTTTGCATTCTAGAATGAAACTGAATTTATCTATAGCATGAAAAAAATATCGTTATTTCTTTAAGCAAGCGGGAAGAAGGTTTGTGCGTTTTTCATTATACATAGTGGTACAGTCATGACAGTGATAAATGAAGATTCTACTAATGATCTGTATATACTTTATGATGTATATATTATACTTTATATTATATCGTCGATCATCTGTCCAACGTTAGCCAGCTGCAGCCTGCCAAAATCATGAACATCGATGCATACCACTGTGGATGCATACCCCAGAAACCAACAGTCTCCCACCGGTATACCTAAATATCTCAACCCACCTCAACCGGCCTCAACCGACCGCGTAATGGGTTAATATGCAGTCAGTAGTACATGGGCTAACAACCTTTTCAAACGCTCTGGATACATTGTCTATGCTTGTATGTGGAAAAACACTTTAACTCTGACGTATTTACTAGCTTTTAAAAGTTATTCCTCTGGTTTGACCCCCCGAAGTTTGTTGGTTGGTTCCGCGGAGCGTTCCTCCTTCAGGTCAATGGAGGTCAAGCCGGTAGGCGTATGTGGTTAGCAGCTTGGATGTCAGGCTGGAAAATGATAGTATCTGTTCATTACTATAATTATAAACCAACATATTTTTTTCCTTCTGTTGCCTGTATAAAGCAAAAGGTGTCCAGAGATTCCCCGTGCAGCCAAACCAGAGGAATAACTTTTAAAAACTGGTAAATACGTCAGATTTACAGTGTTTTTTCCATTCATACAAGCATAGACAATGTATGCTGCATATCAACCCATTAAGGCCGGTTGAGGTCGGTTGAGGTATTTAGGAAGACCCGTCTCCCACACTCACTCATGTAATACCCAAAACGATTTCATAGCCAATATAGTCAACTGATATAACTTAAACTGTTATAATTCATGCTAGCAAAGTCAAAGACCTTCAACGTTAAGTTGAGGCCTTAAGTTATTTGCATAAACAATGAGAGACCCTTTTTTCGCCTGCCAAACGTATTGGATACTGCCCTGACGATTTGACACTGTTGCCAACTTGATACTGTCTTGTAGCCTCCAAAAGATATTATTTGGATTGTTGGCACACGTGTACTTCTGAGTGAAGTTTTATTTAGAAACGATAGGTGTCGCTGTTTTCGAGACCTAAACAAAATGGCCGACGTTTGATTTTTTTTTCTCGACAGGACCAAGAATTTCCCTCGCCGACGTCGAGAATGAAACTGTTAAAGCCCAGTTGGGTAACTCACGATGGTAAGTCTCAGTCTAGAGTGGATCTGTGCTACACCACTCGTTTAAAAAATAGAAAAATGTTGACTGTCACAGTGGTCTCAGATCAAGCTTGCCAGTGAAATCACGTGTTGCTCATAAATCATAACGTTATAACACTTAATAATATTGACCTGGTGTGTTGTATATGTAACGTTAACTAATAGTTAATGTCTTTCAGTGAATTGTATTCAATATTTTGTACATAGAAGATCAATGGAAAAATTGTACCGCCAGTGTTACTATATGAATATTATGGCGCCCCCCTCCCCACACCTGGTAACGTTAACTGTTAAGGCGGCACAACACAGTATTAGCCCTATGGGGATTTCTATAGTTAAGGACCCCAAAGTGACTCAGTTCGACTCACTGAAAATCATAGTAGGGTGCACAATCAAGGTTCAGATTTTTGATATGTTTAAATTCGGGGTATAGTGTACAAAATATGTGAAAATGAGCTTAGATTTGCCGGCTAGTTCTTTTCTCATGCCCTCTTTTATTAGCGCCACTGCGGAGGTCATGGAACTGCAGCCGAGGCACAGTACTTGGCGGGACAAGTATCCAAGCGCAAATCTACGCCGACTGAACACGCACCATAATTCAACTTTTACAGTCTCAAAACTGACGTATTCCTCTAACATTTACCACAGGTTCTATCTCGATGCCATGCACAAAACAATATCTGCACCCTTCTCTAGTATTGTGCAGCACTACTTTGTGCCCGGACTACTTTTGACTACGGGGTTCGCCCATAAATACTGTGTTGTGCGGCCTTAAACGAACTTGACCTTGAATTTTTTTTCGTTTATACGATAAAACTAGTCAAGATGTGAAACTTGGCCAAATTTCATTTCACAAATCCAAACGGTTGTTGAGATTTCGGCAACTTTGCACTTCGGCACCTGTCGTAGGGCTAGGTCCCGTACAAGGCCCTAATGACGGGCCATTTAATGGTCTTCTTTTCAGGTCAAATTTACTATTCCGGCCGACTTTTTCTGGCTAGCGGGTATCATTGTGGTATCCTCTCACGTTCTGAGTGATTTGTAGTTAGTGTAAGCCGTTTTTACGGCAGAAAAAAGGGGGGGGTACGCGTTCTCTGGCCAGTGGGGAACTCCCATAGTAAAGCATAGTGGACGGTCCTAGTGGCCGTTGCCATGGCAATGGAGGTCTGGCGGTGAAATAAACTGGCGTATTTTACTTGAACCGACGTCAGTACCAAATATACTAAGCAAATTTCACCGAATTTGGCACGGTTGATTAATTCCCGTGGGGGTTCAATGAAGGCGGCACAACACAGTATTAGCCCTATGGGGATTTCTATAGTTAAGGACCCCAAAGTAACTCAGTTGGACTCACTGAAAATCATAGTAGGGTGCACGATCAAGGTTCAGATTTTTGTTCGGGGTATAGTGTTTAAATTCGGGGTATAGTGTACAAAATATGTGAAAATGAGCTTAGATTTGCCGGCTAGTTCTTTTCTCATGCCCTCTTTTATTAGCGCCACTGCGGAGGTCATGGAACTGCAGCCGAGGCACAGTACTAGGCGGGACAAGTATCCAAGCGCAAATCTACGCCGACTGAACACGCACCATAATTCAACTTTTACAGTCTCAAAACTGACGTATTCCTCTAACATTTACCACAGGTTCTATCTCGATGCCATGCACAAAACAATATCTGCACCCTTCTCTAGTATTGTGCAGCACTACTTTGTGCCCGGACTACTTTTGACTACGGGGTTCGCCCATAAATACTGTGTTGTGCGGCCTTAAAAGTAATTACGGATCGCCGTGGCTATATACACACCGGGTGTGTATATAAAAGACAAATTAGATTTTATATACACACCGGGTGTGTATATAAAAGACAAATAGATTCTATATACACACCGGGTGTGTATATAAAAGACAAATTAGATTTTATATACACACCGAAATACTAGCCTCCTTGATAGGCCCAAAACCTGGGTTTTTGTGAGTGTTTGAGGATTCAGGGGCACCAAGTTTAAACCTCAGTCTTCATTTTTGTTTTGATAACCCCAGGCCTGAAGTATCTTGAGCAAAGTTATGTAGAGATATTTGAGCAAAGTTATGTAGAGTGACATTAGACTGTGAACACTTTAAAGAAAAGACACCAACGTAACCAAAGTAACCAACAGTGTCTTTTGATAAAGCTTACGCATGTACTTAGCTTTGGCTACATTGATCACAGTATGTTTGTTCCACTAGAGTCACTCAGTATTAAAAAGGAGCTGACCTCAAACACCTGGAGTCAGTGTCTCTTTTTAGTAATAGAAAAGTTTATTGCAAATTCCTGCCAAAGGCTAATTGCAAGTGACATAAACAAAAGAACATTGAAACAGAGTAAAGAAGAACTTCAAAATCTACATAATAAAATGTAATACATCTTAGAAAACTATAGCTATTTCTAAAACTATGTCTGAAGGGTTTGACTTCTCTTTTGTAGACCACGGAAGAGTTAGACGTAATATTTAGTAATAGTATAGACAATTAAGCCATGCACGTGCAAGTTTAAACTGTCTCAGGGAAACTGCAAATGGCTCATTAAATCAGTTATGGTTCCTTTGATCGTCACATCCTACATGGATAACTGTGGTAATTCTAGAGCTAATACATGCGGAAGAAGCGCCGACCTCACGGTCTGGCGTGCATTTATCAGACCAAGACCAACCCGGGGTTCGCCCCGGTCCCTTTGGTGACTCTGGATAACCCACCGGCGACAGATCATTCGAATGTCTGCCCTATCAACTTTCCGGTTATGTATATAAAAGACAAATAGATTTTATATACACACCGGGTGTGTGTATAAAAGACAAATAGATTTTATATACACACCGGGTGTGTATATAAAAGACAAATAGATTTTATATACACACCGGGTGTGTATATAAAAGAAAAATAGATTTTATATACACACCGGGTGTGTATATAAAAGACAAATAGATTTTATATACACACCGGGTGTGTATATAGTGTATATAAAAGACAAATAGATTTTATATACACACCGAGTGTGTATATAGCCACGTTCGGATCATCGTGAAATTCATATCATTCAACTCGAATTCGACTTTTCACCCGTCTGTTGTCGGAGTGTACAAACTGAAACAAACTTATTTTTAGGCACGTGCTCCCATGTATAACGCCGCAACAAGGATTTTTCAAACTAGTTCGGTATTAGTTAGGGATGGGTCGGAATTAGGGCACCCCCCGTTAGTCTCTGCAATTCAGGTAAATTCAGTTGAATTCAACGCTTGTTCGGGGGTTGACGAGCGTGTCAAAAATGCAGGTTTTGCTTTTCAAACAGCCACTTTGGAGCAAGTCGCGTAATCGTAAAAAGAGGACTTGTTTGGGACAGAAAACAGTTGTAGATTGTTTTAGTCATAATTTGTGTACTATAATTCCTAAACTCAGATCGACCTGTCTTAAACACTGGGTCGGAATTAGGGCACCTCTGTTGCGATAGAACGTTCCACCGGCAAAATGACAAAAAACTGCTGTGCGTTTTGCGAACTATTACCCTTGGGTGCAAGGCGCTACACTCAAGTGGCCTAATGTTGGCCTTTCTAGTTTGTGTATTATAATTCCTAAACTCTCTTCTCAGATTGACCGTTGTTTTATACTAGGTCGGAATTAGGGCACCCCTAAATAATTGCGATAGAACGTTCCACCGGCAAAATGACCAAAAACCTGAATGTGAACTATTACGCTTGGGTGCAAGGCGCTACACTGAAGTGAAATACACAGCTGTGCAGCTTTAATCGTTGTGATCTTTATCTGTTAATATCATATCTCATGTGCGCAGGTTTTTGGTCAGATAAACTATTTCCAAAGGTATGTGCGTTTGCATGGAACATAGGTCGGAATTAGGGCACACACAACACACCCCCCCCTGTTAACTGTTAAACGACGGATCATCGTGAAATTCATATCATTTACCTGAATTGCAGAGACTAGGTCTCTGCAAATCAGGAGCCAGAAGGCGGATAGCCCTTAGTAGCTCCTATGGTCATCTTCTTCCGTATGTACTAGTACTAGTACTCGTTGATACTGCTCTTGAATCTGTTTATTGTTGTCTGATGCTTGTTCCATTCCTGAATAACCCTAATACTGAAGAATTTTTTCCTGACATTTAAGTTTGCAAGCGGCAATTCCAATTTGAGATGATGGCCCCTTGTGGCATATGGGTTACTTGCTAGTGTGAATAGATCCTCCATGCGAATTCCTTCCTTTCCCCTGAGAAGCTTGAAAACCTCCAACATCTCCCCACGGAAGCGCCTTACAGCCTTACAGCCCCAGAGGCTGGGGATGAGTCTACTCGCTCTTCTTTGCACCGCTTCCAAACGGTCAATATCTTTTTGTAGCCATGGGGACCACACCTGGATGCAATATTCCAGGTGTGGCCTCACCATCACCACCTGCATACAAAACTTCTGTTTGTGGCCTCCTTGTGTGTAGTACCGTTTGTACTTACTGAGTTGTAACGTTAGGAGTAAACAGTGCCTTTACTACTCGTTTACCATTGTAGCAAAAACCGTTATGTTTTGGTTTTGATTTTCCCATGATGCTAAGGCTTAATTAAAGTTGTTCTACATTGTTGTTAACACATTGTTTTTTCTGGTGTTGCTGGAAACATGTCGATGCAAACATTTTTTTGATAGTGTGGTCTTGATTTTTTTTCTCGTACCTCTGTATTGTAGGTAAACCCATCTTCTCCATCGACATCCATCCAGACGGCTCCAGGTTTGCCACAGGAGGCCAGGGTGAGCTAACTTTACTTTACTTTACTACTTTACTTTAGGCCATGTTTATTTGATTACTAGTATATGGATGACATCCACGCGCGCATGAATTTTCAGCCGTTTCCAAAAAAAAAAATTTCCAACCATACTGTAACTCGTACAAAACAGTTGCAAAATGAGCATATATGTTTCCCGTAAATTCAAGGAAAAAAACATTGGAAAACAATACCAATGTCGTGGAATGCCAAAATCAAAGAAAAACACGAAAATGGAAATAAATAAATTTGAAGACTAGATTATTTTAACTCTGTGTCATTTGTTCAACTTTCAAAACCACGTAGATTTCATAATGAAAGTAACTTTTTTTTTTTTGGCCAAACTTTTTTTTATTCGCACGCTCACATCAGTTTCGGCATTCCCAGAGGATGTCATCCATATAATGTCATCAAATCAGCATGGCCTTACTTTACTTTACTTTTAGTTAACAGAGTTTACAAAATACTTTACTTTAAGTTTACTACCCCAGAAAGTTATGAAAAAATTTATATTCAATGCACATCTGTCTAACTCTTGTACGTAGTTTGGAGGTTGAGAAGTTGTTGTTTATGTGTTGTTGTTGTTGTTGACAGGTGAAGACTCAGGGAAGGTAGCGGTGTGGAATATGGCACCTGTACGGAGTGAGGAGGATGAGAAGTTGTTGTTGTTTATGTGTTGTTGTTGACAGGTGAAGACTCAGGGAAGGTAGCGGTGTGGAATATGGCACCTGTACGGAGTGAGGAGGATGAGAAGTTGTTGTTTACATGTATGTGTTGTTGTTGACAGGTGAAGACTCAGGGAAGGTAGCGGTGTGGAATATGGCACCTGTACGGAGTGAGGAGGATGAGAAGAATGGAAACGTCCCCAAACTGCTGTGCCAGATGGATAACCACCTGGGTGAGTATAGGACTGAACAGGCGTGCTGCTGTGTTCATGTGCACATAGAATTCACAATCCTTTTTAATTTGATGGTTTTGTTTTGATTTCACTACAAGCATGCACTACCAAAAATGTTTTTTCTTATGTTTCTTATTTTCTTATGTTGAGAAATATTTTCTTGCCAATATTTTCTCGGGGATTTTCAAGAAAATTCAAGAAACATTCTTTAAAAATTATGTATGTTGATTCTTCCACTAAAAGAATTTTTATTAATCTTTTTTCTTAAGAAAAGAAAATATTTCTGCTATCATGCTCACCAACAAGAATCTTAAGAATTTTTCGAATTTTAAGAAAGTTTACAGTATTTTTTTTTCTGCTACAAGAAATCTTTTCTTGTGTACAGAATGGTTTTCTTGCTTCAAGAACAGTTAGCTCTTAGTTCAAGAAAAAATTTCTTGTAGACAGAATCGTTTTCTTGCTACAGCAAGAAAACTCAAGTGTTTCTTGAATTTTCTTGCTACAGGGATTCTTTAATTTCTTGTTGAAAGAATAATTTTCTTGCTACAAGATACCATTTCTTTGTACAAGGAAAACAAGAAAAACTAAAGAAACCTGGCCCTTTTGGGCATTTTATCAGTATGTTCATATGTAAGAGCTAAGAACTTGATCTACTTTAACTTTATGACAAAGTTGTTGAACGATAATTATGTTTAAGTTAAGTAAGTTAAGTTTTAAGTTAAATTAAGTTTTACATACTGGCCAAACAGTTTTATCGTACTGTTGATATTGTATTTTATATGTACATGCGTGTATATGTAGTGTTAGTCTGTATTGATATATATAATGATAATATTCTTCAAGATTTTAAATGGAAGTTGACAATGCAGCCATGTAGGCTGCCACAGACTTTTAACCTGTATGCTTATTTGTGAATAATAAACCAGTCATCATCGTGATCGTAAGGCATTGCAGAAAAATAGGCTGAAAGTGTTCTTGAGTTATGCCTGTGCAGGATCACCACCCACTACCTACTACGTATACCTACTACCTACTGTAGATAACTTATCATAAATCCTGTTTAGTGTACTCCTAAGGAGTGTACTCCATTTTGTTCTGATTTCCATAAAAAAGAATTTTTTTGTGCTAAATTAACTACAAAATGCTCAATGAAAGACATATTTTGGCCCCAATGGTTGAAGAAAGTCCTTTTCTTCCTTGTTCTTAATGTTTCTCAATGTAACAGTGCAATTTTGTTTCATTAAAAGTTCAAAATCTATTGTTTTAATTATAAACTAGCCTGGTATGTTCACTTCATGACTCATAATATTGTAACATTTCCGGCTATCATGGGGTGCCTTAGCCTGTTGTTTTTTTTTTCCCCATGTCGCTTCATATTTTTTCTGAAAAAAATCCGAGAAACCACAAATTAAATTTGTGTGGCCTTATGCTCCCAGAGTTGTCATGGCACACACTGTACCTTCTCCCCAGCCTGTGTGAACTGTGTGCGCTGGTCGTCAGACGGACGGTACCTGGCTTCTGGTGGAGATGACAAACTCATCATGATTTGGCAAACAGGAAGGTACAATATGATAACAGTTAAACTTTACGTGACCAACACCAAGTAAATTGGGACTTACCCCAAATTTTCGACTGACTCCGTGACTCGACAATCTTGTTCACGGAATGGACCCTTCTACTGCAGCTTCCGGGACGTGATGTCAGAAACACGTGGTTGCAGCAGAGGGTCATACGTGGCAGATAACCTATGACGCCCCCCATCTCTGTTCAGTGTTGGACAGTTGGCCCGAATGTACACCGCCTCCTTCACTCCTCTCGCAAAGAAATCCGGTTCTGTGTCTAGGATTTTCACCTTAGGCTTATCTAGTGAGACAGAGTGTCCCGGAAGCTGCAGTAGAAGGGTCCATTCCGTGAACAAGACTGACGGAGTCAGTCAAAAATTTGTGGTAAGTCCCAATTTACTTGGTGCTGGTCACGTAAAGTTTAACTGTTTTCATAATGTTATATACCAACACACTGTCAGATGAACTTTCATGCTAAGGAAGGTACAATGTACATGTATTACCACGTCACTACATGTTTCATATACACCTGTCATGCAGTAGACTTGATTGTGTGTTATTGTTGTTTGCTATAGTTCCCATGAGTAAGTTGTACATGTTGTATACATTGTACATGTTCAGGGTTGGACAAGTTTTCAAAAATTGACTTGCCCATGTCATTTTTACTTGCCCGAACCAACTTTTCACTTGCCCAAAATATAACGAGGGTCCTAATTCCGACCTATGTTCCATGCAAATGCACAAACCTTTGATAATAGTTTATCTGACCAAAAACTCGCGCAACATGAGCTATGATATTGACAGATAAAGATCACAACAATTAAAGCTGTACAGCTGTGTATTTCACTTCAGTGTAGCGCTTTGCACCCAAGCGTAATAGTTCACGAAACATACGGCAGGTTTTTGGTCATTTTGCCGGTGGAAAGTTCTATCGCAATTAAGGGTGCCTTAATTCCGACCTAGTATTTAATACAGGTCAATCTGAGAAGAGAGTTTAGAAATTATAACGTTAATACACAAACTAGAAAGGCCAACATTTGCTTTGGAGCAAATGTAATATTTCACTCCATGTCCCTCCCCAAACAAAAATAGAAGATTCTAAATAAATCATACTGCAATTATACAAGGACAAGCACTTTGAATCTCGACAGCTTTATTTACAAAAATGGCACTTGGCAATTATCTTCCCATTTGTTTTACAAAGATACAAGGACAAGTACTTTAAATCTCGACAGCTTTACTTTACACTTATCACCATCTCAAAGTTACATATTGCAGGTATCTAAATACTACTAACCGTACTAACGGTAACAAAATTTTCACGGTCTGAGAAAAATGGACATTTTCACGGTGGTGACAGGTGCAGGAAAAAGAAAGTCCAGGAATTATTTCCTAACTGTAATGATAAGTTCACGGTACAGAGGTGACAGTGAAAACCGTGAACATTGACCTCCCGCTTGTGTTGCGGTACAGTGAAAATTACAGCAATCAATTTACGGAGTACGTTTGCTTAGTTTCCAGATGTTTTGTATGATTGTCGTAAACTTAAAGTTTGGAAATGAACGAGAAAACTGATGCGCGCACAGATGTCATCCATTTAATCAAATCAACATGGTCTTATTTACAATCACATAAACTATGAAACCATACATTGAATAAGCTACACATATACTATGATTATCATAACCTTAAACATAACATAACATAAATTTGTATTTGTTGACAATTTGTGGACAATACGGGGGATTATCAGCGCGGCGGGTCGGCCGTGGGCGATTGATTTTTACTATTTGATACTTTGATATTTGATACCGATTCATGTGATTCCAATAAACATTTCACCTAAATACGTACGAACAACAGCCAATCAGGAAGAGGAATAGAGGAATGCTGCAGGCCTATTGTTACCACCATGAAATGTGTCATGGAGGTTATATTTTCAGTTGCGTTTATCTGTCCGTCTGTCCGTCTGTCTGTCTGTTGGTCAACAAGATAACTCAAGAACCCCTGGATGGATTGGTTTCATACTTGGTGTGTTGGTAGGGTGTGACGAAAACTGGAAATGATTAGATTTTGGTCCCCCTAGTGGCTTCCCTTGGTACTGCAGCGCAACTTCCGGTTTTGATATCTGGCGATCTGGACATGCTAGGGTCATGAAATTTGGATGATAGGTAGCTCTCGTGCTTGGGAAGAAGTCACATGAGTTTGGGCCCCCTAGCGGCTTGTTCTGGAACTGCAGGATGGTTTCTTTAAAAATATTCGAGAGAGGATAACTGAACAACTGTTTGATGGATCATCATGATTTTTGGTAATGTAGGTAGCTGAAATGATGCTTGACATGATTGAAATACAATTATGCAAATCAGGATCTAATTTTCATAATTAATGAGGAAATTCTATAAATCTGCTGTATTCCATATTAGGGCTATGAGACACTTTAGACATATGTAATTGAGAACAACAAGATCATTGGTAGATATTGCTTATGTTAATGAAGATCTAATTTGCATAATTAATGGCAAATTGGTACAATTTTATGGTGGTAACTGCTGTGAATTTAATACTTGCCATACTTGGAAGTTCAATTAAGGCGAACATCACTAAACATAATTTATTCAAATCAGGACCTCATTTGCATAATTTATGAGGAAACGCAAGAATAGCCTTATTTCTTAAGATAACCCTGTCATTGGGCGGAGAATATGATCAAATGATATAATATATGCAAATGGACTCTTATAATTTGCATATTGGCAGTAAAAAAATGTATAATTCGTCAGCTTGGATGGCAAACATGAGTTGGCAAAGGTATGTCAGAGGTCATACTTGCATATAACCAACAATATCATACGTTGTCCATGTTAAATGGTAAGGATTTCACCAGTGTGTTGTATGTTACTAGGTAGGGGCTATGTGAATAATTTGTATAAAAATTTTGCTAATGAGCAGGATTGTAAATGTGAGCCATTTATGTGATCATCACTATGCATAAGCTTTACGAAAGCACTAAACATGTCATGGAGGTATGAGATTGTCGAACTCTAGTTGCCTATGGTTGCTTGCTCTACATACCATTCTGATGACTCATGCCGAAATATAGTAACACACTGCTATAGTACATTTTCTATAACACATCCAAATAGCTCAAATAAAACCATTCTAAAAGCATGTATCACAAAAATTCTGCGAAAGTTCTGCGCATTCTCCCGCAGAATGTACCGCACTCTCCCGCAGGACGTCCCGCACTCTTCAGCAGAACATCCTGCACTCTCCCGCAGCAGAACGTCCCTCGAAAATTTATGTGTATTTCGTGGCCTGTGCTGTACCTACCAAACACTTGAGTTCATACTGTCAATATGGAATGGCTTTGAACAGGTGTACATTAATTGAGTTAATCAAATCCAATCCAACAGCCAATCAGGAAGAGGAATAGAGGAATGCTGCATGCCTATTGTTGCCTATGGTTGCTTGCTCTATATACCATTCTGATGACTCATGCTGAAATATTATTAATAGTAACACACTGCTATAGTACATTTTCTATAACACAGCCAAAAAGCTCAAATAAAACCATTCTAAAAGCCTGTATCACAAAAATTTTTTAAACGCCTGGAGGTATTTGCCCACTCTACCTTCATGCCAAATTTCATGTTATTTGGCCCAAAAATGAAGGAGTTGAATCGATTAAAGAAATGGCAGGAGAAGAAGGAGAAGAAGAAACACGAGGAAAGACAGTATTTCACTCCATGGAGTGAAATAATTATGACTAAAACAATCTACAACTGTTTTTCTGTCCCAAACAAGTCCTCTTTTTACGATTACGCGACTTGCTCCAAAGCAGCTGTTTCAAAAGCAAAACCTGCATTTTTGACACGCTCGTCAACCCCTGAACAAGCGTCGAATTCAAACAGATTTTTCACTCCTCTGTTGTCGGAGTGTACGAACTAAAACAAACTTTGTGAGATTACCGATATCAACACAAAAACTTTGTCCATTCTTGTGGTTATTTTTAGGCACGTGCTCCCATGCATAACGCCACAACAAGGATTTTTCAAACTAGTACGGAATTAGGGCACCCCCTGTTACATATTTCTATGTATGCATTTATTCTACCACCGAGGAAATTAACTTATTCTGGAGCTTATAATGTTGTATACATTGTATGTTGTGGACAGGTAAACTGACAGACAGAGATTGTACATTTGCGCAAAATTAATGAAAATTCTCATATCCAAAGTCATTGTGTTGTTTTTTTGCTCCTAAGGTATTTTGCAGGCCCATCCACTGTGTTTGGAACAGGTGGGAAGACTGTCAACATTGAGCAGTGGAGATGTGTGGCCACATTACGGGCCCACACTGGAGGTACTGACATTTATGTCCTACCTGGGCCGCGATTACGTTCGATACGGGTGTTCCGGCCCGTGTGATAACTAGCGGTACGGCCCGGGGGTTCTTAACGCATACGGCCCGGGGATTCCAAATGTTTCATATATAGGACGATTCGAACGCGTTTCGCCCTAGCCGCTTGCACCGCTTTCGAAAATTAGAACACAAAATTGGGGCGTTGGAATTGATGTTGTTGCATTTTTTGGGACACCAAATTTTCGCCCATTTCGCATCGTGTTTTCTTGGGTGGGTATGACATAAATAAAATACAACACGGTGTATTCCGCATCACCCTTGGTCCCAGCCCTCCCGCGGATCAGATCTCCCTTTGGAATACACCGTGTTGTATTCTATATATACGAAATGTAGTTAACAGTAAGGATGGAAGATGTATGGCCACACTACAGACTCACAACATTATATTGCCTGAAGATTCCACTATGTATCAGAACTCTATTCAGGGCTCCAGACTAGCTTATTGACTTAAAAGAGCACTGTGCTCCCAACCCAAAACAATTGGGCGCACCAGCAAAAATCTAGGCACACCACCAGAAACATATTGTCCTATCCACGTTATTTGGTTACGTTTCCCTGTTATTAGTTCAACAAGAAAAAAATACATGATGCAAACTCAAAAATACATGTACATGCATTTTCTACCTGGAGCTTGAAGCAAGTAAAGCTAAAATTACTGTGATGAATATACCTAAATCTAAGGTATGAGTAGCTACCCAATCATATTTTCTTAATTTAAAGCATTTCCCCAGCCAATCACAGCTTAAACAAAGAAGAAAATGTTTTTTGACCAGCACAGTGGGATTTCCAGTTGATTTTTTACCCTTTAGATTGGTGTGTATAATTGGTACTGGTCCCCGGGATTATGTAAAAACACTGGTCACTTTAAATTTGGAAAGTCACTTTCCAAATTGTGGCTAAATTCAAAATTTTTAGAATCAAAGAACAGCAAAGTTTTATACATCATTGCAAAGGGCACTTCTTCCTCTACATTATGGTGTTTTTAGTTTGGTCATATCACATACGGTTGTCGAGATATTTGGCATTTAAAGTTGCCGAGCCTAGTAGTCTGAGTGGAACAGACTGGTAGTCCAATGCCTCAGACTACTAGTCCAGCTAAGTCAGCCTACTAGTCTGAAGGATGTTGGCCTACTAGTCTGATAAAGGCAGCCTACTGTGGTACAAGTTCATAGTCTAGACTGTAGAAATCCCTAGAAATCATGCCAGCGCTGCTTTCAAGACAAATACAGAGACAATGTACATTTTGGGCTCTGGAGACAAGGTATTACACCCAAATGACCTGAAATTTGGTACAGGGTGCCTTGAACATATGCCCAATGAATGTCATTCATATTTTTGGCATACACCAGTGGAAAATTGTGTAAATAGGTCTTTTCTGCTATTTTCAGGCAAAAAATGTACATTTTTGGCTCCTATGCTCTAATATTACAACCAAATGAGCTGAAACTTGATATAGAGGTACATAAGACAAATGGCCAAAGAATCCCATTGCCTTTTTTGGCATACACCAATTGAAAATGGTGGAAAATTGGTCTTTTCTGCTATTTTCAGATAAAAAATGTACATTTTTGGCTCCTGTACCCTTAAATTAGAACCAATTGACCTGAAAGTTGGTATAGGGGAGGCTAGGGCATATGCCCACAGAATGACATTTACACTTTGGGCACACATGACTTGAAAATGGTGTAAAACAGGTCTTTTCTGCTATTTTCAGAAGAAAATGTACATTTTGGCTCTTGTGCCCTAGTATTACAGCCAAATCGGATCTGGTATAGTAGTGCCTAGAGCATACATGTATGCCTACAGAATATCTTTTGCAATATTGGTACCACTTGAAAATGGCGTAAAATTGGTCTTTTTTGTGTTTTCAGACAAAAATGTACATTTTGGTCTCCTGAGTTCTGTGCCTTATATCACAGCCAAATGCCCTGGAATTTTTGTACAGGGGTGCCTTGTGCATATGCACACAGAATGTCTCTAGCACTTTGGTATACACTATGTAAAATTGTGTAAAATAGGTCTTTTTTGCTCTTTTGAGACAAAAAATAGTACATTTTCGGATCTTGTCCCTTTAATTACAACCAAATGGCCTGGAATTTGGTATAGAGTTGCCTGACGCATATGCCCAATATAATCTACTCACACAATACTCTGAAACTGTGTAAAATTGTTCTTTTCTGTGCTTTTCAGACAAAAATGTACATTTTTGGCTCCTGTGCCCTAATGACCTAAAATTTGGTAAAGGGATGCCTTAGGCAAATGTTCAGGAAACCTTACTTACTTTTGTACCCCTTGCTAAACATTGTCTTTGAAATTGTGTAAAATAGGTGTTTTTTTATATTTCCCCCGCAAAAAATGTTCATTTTGGGCATTTGTGCCCTAATATTACAGACAAATTACAATGTTCCTGCATGGAATTTGGTATAGAGGTGCCCCAGACATACATGTATGCCCAAGGAACTTAAGTTACACTTTTAGTGAACACTACTTCGAATTTGTGTAAAACAGCTTTTTTGTGGTCTTTCCAGAGAAAATATACATTTTTGGCTTTTGTGCCCTTATATTCCAACCAAACGACCTGAAATTTGTTGTAGATGTGCCTTAGGCAAATGCCAAAAGAACTTAAGACACAGTTTTGGCATGCACCACTTTAAAATTGTGTAAAATAGGTCTTTTCTGAAATGCCCAAGGAACAGAGCCAGCAATACCCTGACCAGTAGTTGTTCTGGGGCTCACAGGTCGACTTTGTTTGTTTAAGGATTACAGGCATGACAGATGAATTTGTAATAGCTCAGATGGTACAATCTTCAGAGGGAGGGTCAAAGTGGTCATTGTATGGAAGCAGATCTGATGAAGAACAATATGTAGTGGCCTTTAAACAGTTTTTAAGTTTTAAGCTATAAATATCTGTTCATGATTCTGTCTTTAACTTGCTAAAGGTCAACCAGGTGTATGCAACGTGTATATTAATAGGCAGTTGTTATTATTGTAGCTCAGTATGTCTACTTCTACCCAAGAGCATTCGAGTTCACGAACTACAGTATATTTAAATTGGCCAAAACCTATGTACATGATGTCCATGTTATGATGGCTCTGGGAGAGAAGGTGCAAGACTTCCATGGTTACTTGGGGTATGTTGGATAAATCACTTAGTTACGCCTGCCATCCTTCTGGCATATGTAGTACACGTGTGTGTCCTCATTAGACCCAGTGTTATCTGGAACAATGGAGTTGGGGAAAT